ATTTTTACCCACACACACATGTATATATATATATATATATATATATATATATATGTGTGTGTGTGTATATATATTTAAAATATGTATGTATATATGTGTATATACGAGGTCTGTTCAAAAAGTACCCGGAATTTTCGTTTTTTCAAAAAAATATTTATTTATTCGTCTACATTAATGTGGTCCCCTTCAAAGTAGTCCCCCCCAGATATAATACACTTATGCCAGCGTTTTTTCCAATTTTCAAAGCACCCTTGATATTCACTTTTTGATATGTCCTTGAGCACTCTCAGCGATTTTCTTCAATCGAGGAAAACCGCCGTCCTTTCATGGGTCTCTTCAACTTTGGGAATAGGAAAAAGTCACACGGAGCCATATCTGGTGAATTTTTGCACTTCGCAACACTTTATTTCATTTTTTACGCAAAATTTAATACAAATTCTTTGACTTTTCAATTCTTCCATTGTAAAAATCGCCGAGCTCAGAAAAACACGTCGAACCTTAGCGACTACCACAGACAAAGTAAACAGTGAATATAGCTGAAAATTTCATCATACTTTAGGGGCATGTATACCAACACAATAAAAAAAAAAATTTGACAATCAGACACTCCAGACCCGCGAAATTTAATTATTAGTAATTCCGGGTACTTTTTGAACACACCTCGTATTTAGAATATTTTTTTATAAAAATATTAATTTATATTTATTTTCAGAAGTCATGGACTATCAGGTATTAAAAATAATAAATGGGCCTAGAATGCAACTAAAAGGTATTTTTAAGACATGTACAGAGCAACAGTGACTTTTTTTATATTGTATAGTGTTCAGTTATATTGTATAGTGTTTATTTATATTGTGTAGTGTTCTATTATATTGTAAAGAATTCAAATATTTGGTGTGATTTCCAGAGTTTATATTGTGTAGTATTCAGTTATATTGTGCTTAGTTCAGTTATATTGTGTATTTGTATTATGTTGTACATATAATGTTCTGTTATATTGTGTAGTGTTCAATTATATTGTAAAGAATTCAAATATTTTGTGTGATATGCAGAGTTTATATTGTGTAGTATTCAGTTATATTGTGCAGAGTTCAGTTATATTGTGTATTTGTATTATGTTGTATATATAATGTTTTGTTATATTGTGTAGTGTTCAATTATATTATAAAGAATTCAAATATTTTGTGTGATATCCTGAGTTTATATTGTGTAGTATTCAGTTATATTGTGTATTTGTATTATGTTGTATATATAATGTTCTGTTATATTGTGTAGTGTTCAATTATATTGTAAAGAATTCAAATATTTTGTGTGATATCTAGAGTTTATATTGTGTAGTATTCAGTTATATTGTGTATTTATATTATGTTGTATAGTGTTTTGTTATATTGTGTAGTGTTTTTTTATATTGGCTAGTGTTCAATTATACCATGCATTCATTTATATTATGTAGTGTTCAATTATGTTGTGTAATATTCATTTATATTGTGCAGAGTTCAGTTATATTGTGTAGTATAGTATAGTGTAGTGTTCAATTATGTTGTATAGTGTTCATTTATATTGTGTAGTGTTGAATTATATTGTAAAGAATTCAATTATTTTGTGTAGTGTTCAATCAAGTTGTGTAATGTTTAGTTATGTTGTTTAGTGTTCAGTTATACCGTGTACTGTTTAATTATGTTGTGTAGTGTTCAGCTATATTGTGTAGTGTTCAATTATATTGTGTAGTATTCATTTATATTATGTATTATTTAGTTATGTTGTATAATGTACGATTGTTTTATGTAGTGTTCAATTATATGGTATTGTGTTCAAATATGTTGTGTGGCATTCTTTTCTATTATGTAGTGTTCAATTATGCTGTGTAGTGTTCATTTATATTGTATAGTGGTCAGTTGTATTGTGTATTATTTAGTTATATTGTATATATTGTGTGGTATTCTGTAGTATTTAGTTATATTGTATATGTTGTGTGGTTTTATGTTCTATTATGTAATAGAACATACATATGATATAGAACATAATAGTGTTCAATTATAATGTGTAGTGTTCATTTATATTGTGTAGAGTTCAGTTATATTGTGCAGTGTTCAGTTATACTGTATAGTGTTCAAGTATATTGTATAGTGTTTTTTATATTGGCTAGTGTTCAATTATACCATGTAGTATTCATTTATATTGTGTAGTGTTCAATTATATTGTATAGTGTTATTTATTGTGTAGTGTTCAATTATATTGTGTAGTGTTCAATTGTATTGTGTAGTTTTTAGTTATGTTGTATAATGTACAATTGTTTTGTGTAGTATTCAATTGAATTCTGTAATGTTCAATAATATTGTATAGTATTCAGTTATTTTATGTGTTGTTCAGTTTATATTGTATAGTGTTCTAATGTATAGAGTAGTGTTCATTAGTGTTGACTAGTGTTCACAATTGTCTTCGTTAGAGTTCAATTATATGGTATTGTGTTCAATTATGTTGTATGGTGTTCTGTTATATTGTGTAGTGTTCGACTATAATGTGTAGTGTTCAATTATAATGTGTAGTGTTCGTTTATATTGTATAGTGTTCATTTATATTATGTAGTACTCAATTTATTGTAAGTGTTTGACTATATTGTGTAGTATTCAGTTATTTTGTATATTGTACAATTGTTTTGTGTAGTATTCAATTATATTATGTAGTTTATATTGTTCAGTTATATTGTGCAGTGTTTTCAGCTATGTTATATAGTGATAGTATAGTATAGTGTTCAATTATGTTGTATAGTGTTCAATTATAATGTATAGTATACATTATTATCATTATTATCATTATTATTATTATTATTATTATTATTATTATTATTATTATTATATATTATATATATATATATATATATTATAGGCTCTGGTAATTTTTATTAATTGCAATGAACAAAAACGACATTATAAATTGGACGTTTACTGTTTAAAGCTTTAATAAAAATATGTACTTCTACTTTAATAAATACTTTATTTATTCATAATAAACAGCATCGATTTTCTAAATTGGACGTTAGCTGTTTTTAAAATTCCATATAATATTTTATTAATATAATAAAGAAACAGAAACGATGTTAAAGATAGACGTTTTCTGTTCTGAAAGTTAAATATAATGAATTGAAATGAACAGTAACGATATTATATATTGGACATTTACTGTTTTAAAAACATTATAATATATATTAAATATGTACTTATATTGTAGGTTGTGTAGTGTTCAATTATATTATGTAGTCTTCAATTATATCGTGTAGTGTTTATTTGTATTGTATAGTGTTCAATAATTTTGTGCGATGTTCAGTTTATATTGTGTAGTGTAGTGTTGAGTTTTGTTTTACAGTGTTCGATTGTCTTGTCTAGTGTTCAATTATATGGTATTGTGTTCAATTATATTGCCTGTATTTTGTTATATGTGTAGTGTTCATTAATATTCTGCAGTGTTTAGAGATGCTGTTTGTTATGAATGTAGTATAGTATAGTGTAATGATCAATTATATCGTGTAGTGTTTGTGTATATTGTGTAGTTTTTAGTTGTATTGTGTATTATTCAGTTATATTGTATAGTGTACAATTCAATTATATTGTGCCGAGTTTAATTATATTGTATAGTATTCAATTATAATGTGTAGTGTTCATTTATATTATGTAGTGTTCGGTTAAGCTGCGTAATTATATTGTATAGTGTTTATTTATATTAAGTGGTGTTCAATTACATCGTGTATTTGTATTGTGTAGTTTTTAATTATGTTATTTAGTGTTTGTATATTATTCATTTATAATGTAAAGTGTTCAGTTATATAATGCAGTGTTGAGTTATGTTGTGTAGTATAGTTGAGTGTTCAATTATATTGTATAGTGTTCATTTATTTTTTGTGTTCAGTTTATATTGTGTAGTGTTTGAGTTCATTTAAATTGTGAAGTGTTCAGTTAGATTGTGTAGTATTCAAATATATTGTGTAGTATTCGATTATAATGTGTAGTGTTTAATTATAATATGTAGTGTTCATTTAAATTGTGTAGTGTTTATTTGTTCATTTATGTTGTATAGTATTCGAAATTTCATATAGGTAATTAATTTTGTTTTTTCAGTAACCTTTTCTTAAAACTTTCTAAAACTTTTTAATTTTTTAACATTTTTAATATTTTGTTAAATAATCCACTTATTTATTTTTATCATTTTCATTTTGATTATATAGTCCTATTTCTGTGCATTATTTTTTCCACATTTTAATTCATATTATATAAAAAATCCATCATTCTTCTTTTCTTAAACATATTGTTTGCCTAAATCTTATCAAGATCATGTTTCTTGACAGATGTTCTGAAGATGCAACGTACCTAGTTCCAAAACGTCGACAGTAAATAAACAAAGACAACAACTCCAAGTTACCTCTAAGTCATCCCAAATGCGCCAAGTCGTCCCAAATGCATCTGAGTCGTCACAAACGCATCTAAGTCGTTTCAAATGGTTCTAAGTCGTCCCAAATGCATCTAAGTTGACTCTAAGTCAACTCAAACAGCTATACAATGTCTCTAAATGATGGCTCTACAATGTCATCTCGAATGGTTCTTAGTCATCCTAAATGTTATGTCATCTTCAAATGCCCCTAAGTCAATACATGGGCTGCAAAATACTTCAAATATATATAAATTAAAAATAATTGTAAACATAAAGTGATATATTTCAGTATTAACTACATGTATGATTAATTAAATTATTATAATTTATTTATAATATATAAATATATAACATATACTTATATAAATATATATATATTATATATGTATATTTTATTTATACACTTATATATACAGTAAAAGTAGGTAAATATATTAAAACTTTTTTATCTATCAATATTTCAAACAAAATTCACATGTGGAATGTAAAACTGTGCATATATATTTCATTTATATATATACACAAGTATGTAAAATTTTTTCAAAATATAATTTATCATCATTTTCCTAACTTGCTCGATTATTATTGATTGAACCATCTTCTACAGATATTTTGATATATACATATAATATTAAACTAAATTATGGATTATACAAAATATGTTATTGTTTATATTTAATTATGAATAACATACAGTCAAGAAGTGCCAGAATAGTTCTCGAACTTCAGGAGTCTCATCCTTACTTATCGATCTGCTAGGCTATCAGTAACCAGACGATGAAGATGATTGCAACCCATAAGAAAATTTTGGAAAGAAATTGCTCCTCTTCGAATTGTGGTGTTCCTCTTGGCGCTGGAAAAAGATATATATATTAATTTCAACTCTAAGTTGTATATTTATATTCAACAATGAGTTTTAAGTTGTCCCAAAAACCCCTATGTAGTCCCAAAACCCTTGAGTCGTCCCAAGTGCGCCTAAGTCGTCCCAAATGCATCTAAGTCGTCTCAAATGACTAAGTCGTCTCAAATGTCTCTAAGTCGTCTTAAATGACAGTCATCTCAAATGTGCCCAAGTCGTTTCAAATGCTTCTAAGTCCTCACAAAAGCATCTATGTTGTCTCTAATTGATGTAAGTCATCTGAAATGGCTCTAAGTCGTCCTATATGTTCATAGGTCATCTTCAAATGCCCCTAAGTCATCACAAATGCCTCCAAGTTATCTCAAATGCGCCCAAGTCGTTTCAAATGCTTCTAAGTGCCCCTAAATGCACCTACGTTGTCTCTAGTTGATGTAAGTCATCTCAAATGGGTCTAAGTCGTCCTGAATGTTCATAGTCATCTTCAAATGGCCCTAAGTCATCACAAATACCTCCAAGCCATCTCAAATGCGCCCAAGTCGATTCAAATGCTTCTAAGTCCTCCCAAATGCATCTACGTTGTCTCTAATTGATGTCTCAAATGGCTCTTAGTCGTCCTAAATGTTCATAGGTCATATTCAAATGCATCTACGTTGTCTCTAATTGATGTATGTCATCTCAAATGGCTCTAATTCGTCCTAAATGTTATAAGTCTTCTTCAAATGCCTCTAAGTCATCTTGAAATGCAACTAAATAAACCCCTTATCCTAGACAATATTAAAATACGATGTGTTCATATCATGCCCCTTATTCTCAGTAATTTAAAAGTTAAATCTAATAAAGTTTTACTTCAAAAATTTCAGATTGTGTTTTTGTGGCATATGGGGTATCGTTTAGAAGGTCTTTTCGAATAGAATACGAATACTAAAACAAAATTTTGAATTTCTGTCTTTTTTGAATAATCTCTAATAATTACTTCTAACACTGTAATAGCAACTCAGTATACTTATAATTCACTCATAAATAATGATATATATTGTTTTCTTATTGGCTAAGCCAGTTATTTCCACATACAAGAAAGTTTACGCAACTCGTGTTCCAAAAATGTATTTTATTTAAGTCTGGACGTAAACTGTGATCAGTAGCTCCCAACAAAACACCACAGAACGTGTATATTATAACTTTGTATTCATTTTAACTCGCGCCGCAGAGTACTGCCTTTAATTTACTTAATGCCGGAATTTTTCAGTTTATATATATATATATATAATATTAGTTGGAGGGGTATTCTTAAATACCCATTTTTTGGAGTCTCGTATCCTTTACAAGGCAGAGACCAATAATCATATCAATACATATTGGCTTAGGGCATAAATAAACATAAATTATAGGTCTAGGACTTGTATTTGCCAGATCATGAAAAAATAAGACTGCTAAATATCGAATAGTGAAGTTTGAACTTATACTGGGAAGTTTACGCAACTTGTCTTAAAGAATATACCCCTTATACTCAGTAATTTAAAATTTAAGTCTAATGAAGTTTTACTTCAAAAATTTCAGATTGTGTTTTTGTGTCATATGGGGTATCGTTTAGAAGGTCTTTTCGAATAGAATACGAATACTAAAACAAAATTTTGAATTTCGGTCTTTTTTAAATAATCTCTAATAATTACTTCTAACACTAATAGCAACTCAGTATACTTATAATTCACTCATAAATAATTAATATATATTATTTTCATATTAGTTAAGCCTGTTATTTCCACATACTGGAAAATTTACGCAACTCGTGTTCCAAAAATGTATTTTATTTAAGTTTGGATATAAACTGTGATCAGTAGCTCCCAACGAAACACAACAGAACGTGCCTATTATAACTTTGTATTCATTTTAACTCGCGCCGCAGAGTACTGCCTTTAATTTACTTAATGCCGGAATTTTTCAGTTTATTATATATATATATATATATATATATATATATAATATTAGTTGGAGGGGTATTCTTAAATACCCATTTTTTGGAGTCTCGTATCCTTTACAAGGCAGAGACCAATAATCATATCAATACATATTGGCTTAGGGCATAAATAAACATAAATTATAGGTCTAGGACTTGTATTTGCCAGATCATGAAAAAATAAGACTGCTAAATACTAAATAGTGAAGTTTGATTTGTACTGGAACGTTTACGCAACTTGCCATAAAGTATATACCCCTTAAAAGTTAAATCTAATGAAGTTTTCCTTCAAAAAATTTCAGATTGTGTTTTTGTGGCATATGGGGTATAGAACAGAATACGAATACTGAAACAAAATTTTGAATTTTGGTCTTTTTTTGAATAATCTCTAATAGTTACTTCTAACACTATAAAAGCAACTCAGTATACTTATAATTCACTCATAAATAATTATATATATTATTTTAATATTAGTTAAGCCTGTTATTTCCACATACTGGAAAATTTACGCAACTCGTGTTCCAAAAATGTATTTTATTTAAGTTTGGATATAAACTGTGATCAGTAGCTCCCAACGAAACACAACAGAACGTGCCTATTATAACTTTGTATTCATTTTAACTCGCGCCGCAGAGTACTGCCTTTAATTTACTTAATGCCGGAATTTTTCAGTTTATTATATATATATATAATATTAGTTGAAGGAAGGGTAATCTTCAAAACCCATTTTTTGGAGTCTCGTATCCGTTACAAGGTAGAGACCAATAATTATATCAATGCATATTGTCTTAGGGCATAAATAAACATAAATTATATGTCTAGGACTTGTATTTGCCAGATCATGAAAAAATAATAATGACTGCTAAATATCAAATAGTAAAGTTTGAACTTATACTGGGAAGTTTACGCAACTTGTCTTAAAGAATATACCCCTTATACTCAGCAATTTAAAATTTAAGTCTAATGAAGTTTTACTTCAAAAATTTCAGATTGTATTTTTGTGGCATATGGGGTATCGTTTAAAAGATCTTTTCGAATAGAATACGAATACTGACACAAAATTTTTAATTTCGGTCTTTTTTTATAATTTCTAATAGTTACTTCTAACACTATAATAGCAACTCAGTATACTTATAATTCACTCATAAATAATTATATATATTGTTTTCATATTGCTTAAGTCTGTTTTTTCCACATACTGGAAAGTTTACGCAACTCGTGTTTTAAAAATGCATTTTATTCAAGTCTGGACATAAACTGTAATCAGTAGCTCCCAACGAAACACCACAGAACGTGCATGCTCCCAAGTAATCCTAAATGCCCTCAAGTCGTCCCAAATGCCTCTAAGTCATCTTCAAATGCAATTAAGTTTACCTAAATGCCCTCAAGTCGTCCGAAATGCCTCTAAGTCATCTTAAATGCAACTAAGTTTACCTAAATGCCTTCAAGTCGTCTCAGATACTTCTAAGTCATCTCAAATGATTCTAAGTCATCTTAAAAGCCTTCAAGATATCTCAAATGCCTTTAAGTCATCTCAAATGCCTTTAAAACATCTCAAATGCCTTTAAGACATCTCAAAAGGCTTTAAGAGATCTCAAATGGCTTTAAGTTATCTTAAATGCCTTTAAGACATCTCAAATGGCTTTAAAGCATCTCAAATGACTCTAAGTCATCCCAAATGACTCTAAGTCATCTCAAATGGCTTTATGTCATCTCAAATGACTAAGTTGTTTAAAAAATATATGTAAGCCATCTCTAATGCCTCAAAGCCATCTCAAATGCGTCCAAGTCTTTTCAAATGTTTCTAAGTCCACCCAAATGCATCTACGTTGTCCCTAATTGATGTAAGTCATTTCAAATGGTTCTAAGTCGTCCTAAATGTTATAAGTCATCTGCAAATGCCCCTTAATCATCTTAAAATGCAACTTTACCTAAATGCCTTCAAGTCAAATGAATCTAAGAACATCTCAAATGCCTTTAAGACATCTCAAATGGCTTTAAGTCATCTCAAATGACTTTAAGTCATCTGAAATCCCCTTAAGACATCTCAATTGCCTTTATGTCTTAAGTCTAAGTTGCCTCAAAAATAGATGTAAGTCGTCCCTAATGCCTCAAATCAATCTCAAATGCCTCTAAGACATCTCAAATGCCACCAACTTGTTCCAAACGCCCTCAAGTCAACCCAAATGCCCCTACTATATCCCAAATATCCCAAACGGCGCCAAGATCTCTCAAATGCCCCTTAGGCCCCCCAGTTTGCCAAAATATATATTGTTATTTAATAATAATAATACTTTAAAAGTCTCCTAACCTGCACTAGGTCTTGGTTCTCCAAAATTGAATGTAGATGTGAAAAATCCAAAAGGAAAAGCACCAATACCAAAAGACATGTGAAATCCTCCATCACCAAAACCAAAACCAGGAAAATTAGACCCTGCTTCTGGTTCCGTTCTTTGACCTGCAGGCCTTGGAGGAACCTGATAAGTAGGAAAAAAATTAATCAATTGCACTTAAAGTGAATTAGACTATTGATGGTAAAATGTATTGATTACCTTATTGCGTGGATCTTCCTGTTTTGTGCTTCCTCTTCCGTATAAAGGAATTACTTTGTCTTTACTGATTGCGGCTTTGCATACAGGACAGACTTGTCTGTTGGGCCGAGTTTGCAACCATGTATGAATGCAGGGCCAGCTAAAAAAATATATAATTGTATCATCATTTAAAAATAAAAAGATAAAGTGGATAGACAAAGTAACAAATGAAGAAGTCCTGAGAAGAGTGGGGAAAAAAGGACAATTCTGAGAAGGAAAGGCACTCTTTTGCAAAAAGAGTGCCTCCTACACGACGTCGTCGAGGGTAAAATAGAAGGAACAAAAGGAATGGGAAGAAGAAGAATGCAGACGATTGACGACTTACGCGAGAAGAAAAAATATAGGGAACTGAAAGCCGAAGCACATGATCAAGAAGCATGGAAACAAAAGTTTGGAAAGGAAAATACATGAAATAAAAAAAAAATAAAAAATTGGCATAGAGAATAGTGGTAATGGGATGAAGGGCAAAAAAATCATTTATTGTGGTGGCTCTCACACCATGGACCTGCCTTCGGGCAGACTACCGTTTATTATTATTATTGTCATCATTTTAACTTTTCAGAAAAAATGCTCCAAATTTATTTGGTATCGAAATTATCTAATAACATAATTAGCTGCAGCAAAAGAAAAATTATATTATTTGATAAATTAATTAATATTTTATAGAAAAAAAACCTGTGAATTTGTCTTTAATATTATCTAAAGCTAAATTTGTTGAAAAAATGCATTTACCATTTGTTGTAGAATTTCAACAATTTAGAGGAAATTGTCGATAATTTATCGAAGTAAAAAGGTTTTTGCAAAAAATAATTAGTGTTTGTAGCTATTTTAAGAGCTACAGCTAAATTAGTGCAAAAAGTATCCCTAAATATAAACCGATTTCATACCCTTATGACTAATTTTAACAACTTTCTTGGTGTTTCACAAGTACAGTAAATATTTCTATTTTTAAGAATACAACTAGCTACTGCATTAATATACCTTTTTATATTTTGGGCTATAGCTTTCAGACTAATTTTAATAATCAATTATGGTATTTAATAAGTAGATAAATATTTTTGTTGTTTTAAAAACTGTTACAGTTAAACTATATATAAATTTTGAACTATGATCTTCACACAATGAATTATAAGCGCTTTTTTTTAACTTCCCAAAGGAGAAGTTTATGGTTTCATCAAAAAATCCGATTCGCTAATTTTGTGTTTTCTCAACGTTTCAAGTCATTCTGAATCAAATGAAACCAAATTTGAAAAAAGTATGTGTGTTTTTACAGTTTTTTTGCCGTAAATCGACATTTTCTCAAAAACGGCTGGACCGATTTCAAAAATTTAAAAGCCATTCGATGTATCTCGATGAGGACTAAGCGTTTATCAGTTTTGTGCAACGATCGGTCGAGCCGTTTCTTTGTAAATAGCAGAAAAGTGAAAAAAATTTCGTACACGTTTTAGATCGCAATTCTGAATCGATTTTGAAAATATCGAAAGATATTGATTGGGAATCGTGCTGATTATTTTTTGGTAAAAATCGGCCGCGCCGTTTTCTTGTAATAAAGTTTTGTAAATTTTTTTTCGACGATTTTTCTTATTTTTTTTTGCGGTAGATACCATAGTCTTATAGATCATACTAAAATTTTACGGCCATACGACAACTCGTTTAACTTTAAAAATTCGTCAAAATTAGATCTTTGATCGACGTTTTCTCGAAAACGCCTGAACCGATTTCAGAAATTTAAGAGCCATTTGATGTATCTCAATGAGGACTATCGTTTGTCAGTTTTATGCGACGATCTGCCGAGCCGTTTCTTTGTAATTTGAAGAAAGTTTTTGTTCATATTTAAGCTCATACTACCAAATCGAGTTTAAAAAATCAAAAACTGTTCGAAAGATATTATTTGGAAATGATACTGATTGGTTTTAGGTGAAAATCTACCGAGCCGTTTTCTTGTAATTAACTGTTGAAAAAAAAAAATTAAGCCGATTTTTATGGAACTTTTTTTTAGTGATATATATCATGGTGTTATAGAACTTACTGAAATATTACGGCCTTACGACAAGTAGTTTAATTTTAAAAATTCATTAGTATAAGTTTGAGAAAATGAGTAGTTTTTTTTACACTTGTTAAAATTAAAATTAGATGGTTTACTTGGTATAACAATAGAGTACTTGGTCTTAATGAACATACTGAACCATTGAAGTCCTATGGAAACTTCAATTATAACTCCGAGTCAAAGTGTTTGTTTGTTTTCAATTATGTGTGTAATAAATCTGCTTGGAATACTCATAATCACTCATAAATTAATTTATTCTTTATTGATTAAGTCTATTATTTATACATATCGGGAAGTTTATGTAACTTGCCTCAAAGCAAAATACCAATACCAACTAGTTTTTTCATATTTAAAAAAAAAGCCACAGAAGGCTACAAAATTGTCATACATCAGCAAAGACAATCAAAATAGCTAAGAACCTACAGTCTAAAATGAAATATATATGCATTAAATGATAAAGGATCTTAACAATTAATCGCTTAATAACAAAAAGGAAAGAATAGCATTCTAGAGCCTCTCCCCTTGAAGTGTTGCCTAATGGCAGTTTTAATTATAATCCATAGATTATATTTATTGATACACTACTAGGTGTATTATAATTCTATTTTTTCCTCTTACCTCTTGCCTCTTGTCCCTAAGGAAACTGCCAGTAAGCAACACTTCATGGGGAGAGGCTCTAGAAGCTATACCCTTCTTTTTTTATTATTATTTATATAGTTATATATATATACATATACATATACATACATATATGTATATATATATATATATATATATATGTATATTTATATATAATATGTACATTACATGATAATGGATCTTAACAATTAATGGATTAATAACAAAAAGGAAAGAATAACATTCTAGAGCCTCTCCCCTTGAAGTGTTGCCTAATAACAGTTTTAATTAGAATCTATAGGTTATATATATTCATAGACTACTAGGTGTATTACAATCCTATTTATGCCTCTGCTTACCTCTTGCCTCTTGTCCCTATGGAAACTGCCTTTAAGCAACACTTCATGAGGGGAGGCTCAAGAAAGCATTCTAGAGCCTCTCCCCTTGAAGTGTTGCTTAATGGCAGTTTTAATTATAATCTATAGAATATATGTATTGATACACTTCTGGGTTATTACAATCCTATTTTTTCCTCTGCTTACCTCTTGCTCTTAAAATTGCCATTAAGCAACACGTCATGGGGGGAGGCACTAGAAGCTATACTCTTCTTTTATTATTATTATTATTATTATTATTATATATATATATATATATATATAATAATGGATCTTAACAATTAAGGGATTAATAACAAAAAGGAAAGAATAGCATTCTAGAGCCTCCCCCTTAAAGTGTTGCCTAATGGCAGTTTTAATTATAATCTATAAGTTATATATATATATATATATATATATATATATATTCATAGACTTGCCTCTAGTCCCTATGGAAACTGCCATTAAGCAACACTTCATGGGGGGAGGCTCTAGAAAGCTATACTCTTCTTTTTTTATTATTATTTATATAGTTATATATATATATATATATATATATAAATATATAAATTAATCGTATATTGAAATTAAACAGCCCAATTTGTAAAAAAATAACTCAATCTATATTTCACTCACCAGAATAGATGTCCACACAAGCTGACGACAGCATCTTTAGCAGTATCCAAACAAATATTACACTCGAACATCTGATCATCCTTTTTATCCTTATCACCATCGGCAGCATCACCATCTAATTTCTCATTCGGTTTTTTAACATCATCTTTTTCCTTATTTTCATTTTTAAGTTCATCTTTTTCTTCAACATTTGAAGTCGGCATGTTAGCCGTGCTGGTACTGGGTACTGCTGTGGTTGCCATTACCTAATTAAAAAAATATTTAGAACTAAAGATTTTAAAAAGATTATTTTGGTCGGGAAACAAAAGATGGACTTTGTGTCATAGTAAGATAAGTGTTACTACTTTGTATCTTTTTAATTGAATGAATCAAAGCAAATTCATTCAAGAAGTCTTGATAAACAAATTACAAAGTAAAATTTGCAAAAACTAACCTTCACTGTCTTTGAAATTTTATTCAATGTTACAATTGCTTAACATCTTCAATTGTATTTAAATTCATTTAATATTCATGAGACGCATTACAATAGTTAGGACGTCATTACTTAAAAGATAAAAAATGTATAGTAACACCTTTGTAAATTAATATTTATGTTTAAAACAGAAATCAGCCATGAAATTTTTTTTTTGACAGATCAAGTGAGCTTAAACCAAACTTATTTTTGTTAAATTTTAAAAGTGATGAACAAACAAAAATCTTACCAAATCATCTGCATACGTAAAAATACATTTATATATTACAAATACCTAATAATTTTGAGATTATTTTTATCATGAATAAAAATAAATACTACGCCATATGTCAAACACCCAAAAACATCAAAACTCACCTAAATTTATTTCCTACGTCTTCTAATACTAATAAATTAATAAAATATTGATTCGTTATTATTTTTTTACACAAAATCACTCCACTTTTATTATTTTCGACAATTATTGCATCACTTTCCACTTTGTTCTAATTATTTTATTTGACAGCTCAAACTTCAAGGACGATGTCAGTAGGTGTCAAAATGGCGGACTGAATTCTTGTTGACAGTTGAAAATTTGGCGGTTAAATTTAAAAGTGATAATTTAAATTTGTAATTTTATAAATTATAATAATATACATAATTTATATTGTAAAAAGATGTGTATTTATATTAATGAAAAGAGAGAGCGTAAGGTTCACACGCGATTGAAGTAAAACTTATTTGCTATTGTACAAGATGGCATTTAAGTAAAAATAAATACATCAACAATTTTGAATAATGTTTAACCATTATGCACATTTATATAATGATAAATAATAAATTATATATTTATAATAGCATTAAAAATAAGTATAATATATAAAAACAATAATGCAATTAAAGTCATACTTCAAATATGAGATGATCGGTTTGTCATTGTAATTCATTACTTCATTAGAGAAATGAAGTAATTGCTGATTAATAAATTCTATAATATTCGTGCACACAGTGGATTATGTTAAACAACGCCTAAACAAATATTGTTTTTGCAACTTCACTCATCATGCAACTGTGTTTGAAGAACTTCATGTAATTAAAATTAACATACATTCATTGACTGTTTGCATTTTTTTACTTTCTTGCTGGCGATATAATCTCATTCTTTGAACAGCTGTAATATCTATCTTGCCTAAAAAGTATTTTTGATTTTAATAACTTCAAAGGTTTATAGAAACTACGAATAATATAGAAATAATTTCTAAGCAATAAACTTACGTTTAACACACGACCTAAATGATTAATTTGTTTTATTATTTTCAAGGAACATTATAAAATATTCTTCTGATTCAGGCATTTTTCATTAAATCATTAGTACTACGATGTAACTTTAAATTGTTTATTTATCGCATACAACGACAAATCTCTATTCACATACATGACGACTAATCATAATCGACCGGTATAGAAATGATGTCATCGAGAGCGAATGACAAATCATTGGCACTCGATTCAGCCGTAACGCACTTCCGTTGCATTTGTACGAATTTACACCTTAGTCGCGCCTAAAGAAGTTTTACTTTATAAACAATTCATTAATTATTTATAAATTTCATATTTATGAATACATATTAAACATATGTATAAATTTACAATAAAATATATTTCTACAAATATAAATATTACACAATAACAATTTTTTTGTCATCAATAAATCTAAAATAAATTTTCATTTTCATGTGTGAATAAATAAATGTATATATTCATTAAAACTAAACATTAAACTAAAGTTTTAATAATAATTTATAAACAATTATTATTATTATTTTTAATAATAATATTATTTCCCATTTTTTTATTTTTTATTGTTTCAAACAAATTAATCATCACTAATTACTAAATTTTATTATTTCTAGTTTATAAACTAAGCATAATACGTTTTATATTAATAAAATGTTTATAATAAAAAAAACTTTAAAACTATTTCATTTTTTTCTTTCATAAATTTAATTTGTACAAATTTTAGCAAAAAAATATACACGTGATGCGATATGATTTTTTTTAAATATAAATAAACAAAAATAAAAACAAAATGATGATTAATTAATTAAAAATTATTTGGTAATACTGTCGATGTAAATGTGATTTTATGAGCAGTAAAATTTTTTTTATACACTTAAAATATTTTAAAATTATTCTAAGATTCAATCCATCATATATATGTAGTAAAACCCGTTAAGACGATTTTCTAAGAACTAAAATAGCATCTTAAATGCAAGAAATCGTAATAAGCATAATCGTCTTAACGGTGTTCTACAGTATATATATAATTGTCAATTTATAATCCAACTTCTGGATCAAACTTTTTGCAATTTAATATAAAATTGTTAAGTATATAATAATTTTGTTTAATTAATTAAAAATAAAGAATATTTCACAGAAACTACAAATGATTGGTTGTAATAAAAATATTAATTATTTAATGTATAATGAAAATATTATTATTTGTTTAAATTTGTAGTAAATCTTTTTTCTATCTCTCTGTTTGTAAATTTTGAAAGATTTTGATAGTTCTTTTTTCAATCAATATTTTAACAGAAAGAAACTATTATTTATATTATGAAATTTTATTTTAAGATGAAAAAATAAGAGAGAGAGAGATAATATAAGCATAAAAGAGAGTAAAAAGTAAAATAATAAGCGAGAGAAAATAATAAAACAAGAGAGAGAGGGAAAGAGAAAGCAAAAGAAAATTAAATAGGAAGAGAGAGAGAGAGTAAAAGAAAATGAAATAGAAAGAGTAAAAAAAAAAGAGAGAGTAAAAAAATAAAAAATATTTCACAGAAACTACAGATGATTGGTTGTAATAAAAATATTAATTATTTAATGTATAATAATTATATTATTATTTAGCTTTAGCTAATAATTATATTATTATTTATTATATTAGCTTTTGATAGTTCTTTTTTCAATCAATGTTTTAACAGAAAGAAACTATTATTATTTATATTATAAAATTTAATAAGATAAAAATAAGAGAGAGAAAGAGAGAGAGATAATAAGCATAAAAGAGAGTAAAAAGAAAAATAATGAAATTCAAAAAATACTACACTGAAAATAGTGAGAAAAAATAATAAAACAAGAAAGAGAGGGAAAGAGAGAGTAAAAGAAAATGAAATAGGAAGAGTAAAAAAAAAAGAAGAGAGAGAGAGAGAGTCAAAAAAGAGATAGCAAAAGAAAAAGATTAAGAGTAAAAAAAAAGTAAAAAAAATAAACAGAAAAAGTATGAAAAACCAGATAAGAGAGGAGAGAAAATAATAAAACAAGAGAGAGAGGGAAAGTGAGAGCAAAAGAAAATGAAATAGATAGAGTAAAAGAAGAGAGAAAGTAAAAAAAGAGCTTTACTATCTCTTTAAAAAATAAAGAGTAAAAAAGAAGTAATAAAAAATAAACAGAAAGAGTATAAAAAAACAGAAAAGAGAGAGTAAAAGATAAGGAGAAGCAGAAGAAGGAAAGAAAAACAAGAGAAAGAAAGAGCAAACAGACAATTATTAAGAACAAAGATAGAAAAGGAAAGAAGAGGAAATAAAATAGATTGAGAAAGAAGGTGTGGGTGAGAAAGAGAAAGCGAAAGAAAGAGAAAAAGAAAGAGATAAAGAGAGAGAAAGCTATATAGAGAAAAAAGCGTGAATATATCATTTATCGTCATATTTTCTTTTTTACTTTTATCTTTATTTTTTTTCAGAAATTAACATCATAATATAACTTCAAGATTAAAGTTAATAATATTAATGGCTTCAATTAATTGAAGTAAATAAAATCGTAGTTGAAGAAAGTTGAAAGAGAGAGAAAAAAGAGTAAGCCATATAATTTCCTTCCTTTTTCAAAAAAATTATTTTAAATATTCATATAAAATCAAAATAAAATAAGATAATCGTCGACGTCCATAAATAAAATCCTTCCTTAACCTACCTAAATACAAAACAAATCACACTTACTCCCGTTAATTCGGCCACCAACCTCAAATCTCGTCCGACGACGTATTATCGACCGCCAAATTCTCAACCGCCGGCTGCAACAACATCGGCGGTGCCACCACTATCGGCGTCTTTTCATCATTCAGCGTCAAAACCGTTAAAGTCTGATCACTCGTGATCTTCTGTGCATCAATGTGTAACTTATGAACACCGTTGTCCAACCCTGAACCGCCACTCTGGTTTCCCGGGACCCTGTTATCGTTCAAATTCAACCCTGAACCTTGCAGGATGGAACCGCCGATTGCGTTCTTGGCATCGGTCTGCAGCGATGTCGATTTTTCGTCAAAGGTATCGATTTTGGCTGGGAGCGGTTTTGGGGTTTCTACAGGGTTCATTTTGTGGGCGTTGACGTTTTGGCCGCCAATTATAGTGCCGTCTTCAGCAATTATGGAGTCTACTATGTCAGGGCCGCCGATTGATAAAGGCGAGTTGGCATTGTTGACGATGGCCATGCCCACACATTGGGTTGAACCGTAGACTCGAGCCTGTTGGCCCTCGATGGCGGTCATTGTTTCTGGCCAGCGGTCATCGCAAAGAACCGGATTATCTGATAAAAAAAGAATATAAATGAAATAGTAGAAGAGTTCTACTACAAAGATAACAATTTAATCTACAGATATATAAAAATAAGTCGGGTTTTCCTTCCTGACAAAATAACTCCAGAACGCACGAACCGATTTCGAATTTTGCATTCGTTGGAAAGGTCTCGGGCTCCGCAAGGTTTATAATTAAAAGAATTAGTGGTGCATGGCATCGTGCCTTAATGCAAATTGCTGGAACTTTACGCGCCGTAATTAAGAATTCGAGTAATGACATTAGTGAGAATTATCAGAATTATGCTTGGTTAAGTCAATGAGCAATTCTGGTCGCAAAGAATAATGATGTACACGCACTGAATTTCACCATTCAATCAAACATTGCTGGCGATTTGTTGACATACCAATGATTCCGACTGGTCTTCCGTTTGACTTCAAACGATTGCAATTTCCAGTTCGCCTTGCGTTCGCAATAATAAGTCGCAAGGCCAATCGCTTAGTGTTTGCGGGATAAATTTCAAATAGATTATTCAGAAAATCATTGTTTTTTACATGGGCAGTTATAGGTTGCCTGTTCACGAGTTGGAAAACCATCCGCTTTGTTTGTGTTAACGTCAGACCAAAAAACAAAAAATGTGGTTTACCAAAGAGCACTTCAATGAAACGGATAATTTGCGGATTTACTTCCATTTACTTGGAGAAGTTCAACTAAAAACACTTAATTTTTGTAATCGAAATGAATTCATTACTGTTGTGTAATAAAATCATTTTTTTCCTTTTCAAATATAAAACAAATAAAAAAATTCTTCATCTTTCTCACGAAACCATCTGGTGGCGAAACGGAGTTCGTCAGGTTTGCTAGTTATCTATATAAATATATATCTTACCTTGGAGATAAATTTTCAAGGGTGCTCCATGTATCGAGCACCTCGTATGTCTCACAAGCTCAGGAGACAAAATCTCAATCTCGTTGTGAGATAAATCTGCCCAGCACAGCGAAGGCAAACCATGGAAATCTTGATGCAAAGCTCTGATACGATTATGAGATGCAAACAACTCGTCCAAAGCAGGCAAAAAGGTCTATCAACATAAATAAATTAATATCACACACACCAGACTGGAGAGGTGGTTATTTTACCTTTGCTGTTTCTTCAAGGGCAGTAAGTCTGTTATGACTGACGTCCAGGACTCTGAGGACATCCAGGCCTATAAGATCACCTGGTGAAATCCTTTCGATTAGATTATGAGCCACACTTAGTCTTACTAATCCCTGGACGCCCATCAGAGCACCGTCTAAAGATGTTAGACGGTTGTGGTCCAGGCGGAGTTCTACAATTCTGGTTTCTGATTCGACTAAATTCTAGCAAATAAAATAAAATAAAGTTAATTAATAAAAAGAAAATTTAAAAAAAAATCATGTTTGCTTGCCATGTTGTCCAAACCTAATACAGTGCTTTCTCAAACATGTTTACTTGGACTGGGATGCACATGGTAAGCGTTTCTTCAATATTTTTTGGCACAAGTATTTTTCAAAATTATATAAAGATAATTAAAATATCCTCTATTACCTCCATTCGTCCAGTGATCCTTTCAACTCGATTATGAGACAAATCGACGACTCTTAATCGTCTCAACCCTCTCAATTCCTGGACAGAGAAATCCTTGAGCAAATTGTGAGTTAAATTTAAAGTCCTCAATAATTTCAAAGGTAAAAGACTTCCATTTAAGGACGTCAACTCGTTGTAGCCCAATTGGAGGTCCTCCAGATTTTCGGTTTCGAAGAAATCGTCATCAAATAACTAGAAAAAAATATTAGTAGTAACAACTTACTAGCAAGATGTATCCAAAATCTGTTTAGTGTCTTTGCAATTTGCTTTTTATCTACTTATCTATTTATCTAATTATCTACTCACCTCTCTAATATTATTATGACTGAATTGTAATCTCTTCAATTTTCTGCACCTCTGCAAAGCTCCATTGAAACCGGTGATTAAATTGTGCTGAAAGAACAACGACTCCAAATGTTGAGAACCTTTGAAACTCTGGGGTAAATGTGTCAATCTGTTATTTGCTGCATGGACCAAAATTAATTTGTTACCATTCTGCAAAAAATAGTAAAAAATAGATAATGGAATGAAAAACAAAATTAATTGCATGAAATTATTAGCTAATAATAACAGTGTAACCAGTGGTGTTGTCGAGCCGGAACGCACCGGAACGTCGTTCCGGCAAATCATTTTTGGGCCGGAACGCGTTCCGACAGAAAAAAATTAAAAAAAAATCGCTACATACAGAAAATAATTTAATAAGTGAATTGTATAAATTTTAATTCAACTAATTTTTATTAAATGTTCCTATTATTGTAATAAACATACATATATGTGCACAAAATGACTTTTGTAATAATTTTTGTTTCTTTCCCTTTCGAACGAAACCGGAGCAAACATGAAAACCGATTTTTGAACCGGTTTATGAACCGGTTTTTAAATTCTAGCGTTCCGGCAAAAAATATTAGCACAACACCACTGAGTGTAACGTAACTGTTACGTAATTAACAAAAACGAAGTATCTACGTTGAGGTCTATTAAAGGTTACAACTATACGTAACATTTACGCTTTATTAACGTAACCACCAAATACGTAACGGCGTTTCCTCCGTGCTACGTTATTTTAACTTAATTAATCGTTTGTGGTTTGCTGGGAGATGATGGGTTGATGCATTTTAAAAGACGCTTTTTAGGAGAACTGTTTTAGATATAGTTTTGAGACTATAGCTGGCTTTAGATAATATGCTATAGTATTTTACAATTTTTTTTCAAATTTTTTGTACTTTGATAAATATTTTTTTATATTATAAGCAAATTGCACTACACAAAAGACAATCTTAAAATATTTCAAAACAATTTCTTATTAAAAATCGTTTTTTAAAAAACCATAATAGATATAGTTTAGAAACAAAAACTGAGTTTAGATAATATACTTAAAAACTTTCATACTATATCAAATAATTTTTACCAAATTTTTACTTTAATATTAGTATTTTTATAATAAATTAAGTTCAAAAATTAATTTGGAAGTCATTTTTATGTTTATAATATATGGTATATTTTTCATACTACTTAAAATCAATTAAACTAAATTTTAATCTAATATTTCTTATTTCTTATCATTTTTATATTTTTTTAAATATTTAGTTTACAAAATTTATCATTTTTATGATTCATAAAAATGTAATCAAAAGTTGAATTTGATTCAACGATTTTTATAGCCGGCGCCAAATTTTGTTTTTAAATAATAACTTTACGTAATCGAAAAGTTTAATTGATTTTTTGATAAACTATTAACATAATCATATATACATATATATATATATATATATATATTTACACACACACATATATGTATATATATACTAGCTGACCCGGCATACGTTGTTTGCCCCGTACCTTCATATATTACTATCTATTCTTCGATAAATTCTGGAAAATTATAATTGGGAAAATGTTATGTCCATTTGATCGATACCAAGTTTAGGTTCTGAATAACATAAATAAAAAATAATATAACCTAGAAAATGTTTTATAAATACCAATGAGTATATAATTATACAAATGAGATCTTTCAGAGCACCGTGTTTGAGAAAAATATGATTTGCAAAAAAAGAGTGCTTAACGCCAAAAAGTGTATTTTCATATTAACATTTCAAAAAAGTTAATATTTTGAGTTTCTAGTTTACACTTGCGATCCGTATACTATCGTTTTTGTATATAAATAAAACTACTTACTACAATTTAATTATAATTAAATGATATTCACGCAAAACATCATATTAAACGTAGTTGAACTTCATCTGTCAAAACATTATTTAAATTACGCTTCTACATAAAATTACAAATTAAAAATGTAAAGTTTCTACGCGATTTTGTAATAATCTCACCTTTCCGACAATCTACTGATTAGCACGAATTTTTCAAGACTAAGACTGACCAAATCGGTTTAGCCGTTTTCGAGTTTTAGCGGATCATTTTATCAAGCTCCATTTTTATATATAAAAGATATACATACATATATTGGTCATCACTGCTCTAAAGAATTTTTTATAACTCACCGATGGCATTTCGTCGTCGAGTGTCGTCAGCTGGTTGGCGTTGAT